GCATGGTCCTCAATTCACTCTCGCCATTGTTATGAGTGGTGCGTTTATATCTTGAAATCAATCAATTGTTGCAAACATTGGATTCCATCTCAAAACAAACTACTGTTACTAGTCCGTCATGTACTCTGGTTTGCCTCTGATTGGTTAGTCATTTTACCGATGCCCAATCTTTTCATCTTTAGATCTCGACGGTAGCATCTTCAGACTCATCAACCAAATGGTTTGTGCTTCATATTGATTACAGCAGTGCAGTTTCAATGGGAGACTGCAATACAAACTTTTTTTTATGAGGAGCAACGCTCGTAAAATAGAAGAATGCTAAGTGAATGTTAATATTTTCCATCAAATATCAAATCGTTCGAAAGTATTCTGTTTATCTTGTTACAAATGAGAACCATGTGAAAGTAGTACGCTCATTTTAAGTGTTGGCCTACTTTCCTAGAAAAACACGTTTTCTTGCTAAGTTGGTGAAAAATACCATTTATTAGAAATATGATCTGCTGAATCTTGATGTAGTACCACGCAAAACTGATTTGCTTTATGATGCCGTCTATTTACATAGTCCACTGCCCTAATAAGTCTTGCTAGAAGATTATTATCTCTTTATCTTTTCACTATTTTTTATTGTTGTTATTGCTTGTTGATGATTCTGTCGATAGTGGTTACAGCACTATGGGGAAGGTTGGTTCATTTGATACAAGATAGGAGCTGACTGACTCTTAATAATAAAAATGGGTTGTTTATTAATTAAAAATGAATGATATTGGAGCGTAATAAGTAGTTTCATTAAGTATTACAAATCTACTGAACGGTGACAACTTCCCATGGCTGATCACACAATCATTCATTCATTGGGCTAGTGAACTAAGAATTATATTTTTTCCTAGAAAAGTCACTCAAATCAGTGTAGAAAGATTGTCTTGTAACATGTTATGTACTGTAACTGCTGTTTATAGCATTAAGCATTACAATCTTTAATGTTTTTTTTTTCTTGTATGATTAATGCTGAGCTAAAATTCTTGTTTTTCATGAGTATAGATAGGGCAGTAAAGTAAAGCGATCATGTAAACTATGGCTAATTAAGTAATTGTCAAAACCGAATAGTAAGAGAAGTGATATATATTAGTGTTTAAAAAAAAGTGTTTCAAAAAGAGAGAAGTGATATCAATTTCCATACAAAGAAGAACTCTCGTGTTTACCTAGTTGGAAGGATCCTTCTGTTGAGAAGCTTCTTGTGATCCTAGAGCTTGGTGTTAGTCAAGTGAATAAAGGATTGAACTTATTGGCTTAAGTATTCCGTTTTTAAATTTTTTTTTTTTAAATGGAACCAAAGCATCTCAGATTATAGTGGGGGTTAGACTCTAGGCCTCTAGGGATTAAAGAAAATTGTACTATTGGCTTGGAGAGATGATTGTGACAAGAGGAAGAATATATATCAAGAAGTTTCAATAAGAAATGTTAAAAGGAGAACTGAATATAGTTAGGTTTTACTTTTATTTCATATTCTTCATGTTGGCCTGTCGAAAAATGATTAGATTGTAGGTGGTGCTAAACCTAGGGGGATAGATAATTCCATAACCTGTAAGAAGAGAATCTTCCTTTGTTGTCTGACTTGTGTCCGCTTGAAACCCTGGGGTTCACTTATGTTTGGATATCACGAAAATAAAATGTTAAACATATATAAGTTTTATACATTTACCAAGTTGTTGACAAGCAAACAAATCGAAAATATGGCAATAAATGACCACATAATCTTGAAAACCTGTTGTTGTTGTCCAAAAAAAAGAAACTTGGAAAACTGTAGAGGATGATGACTCAAGACAGCCAACTTTAGCTTATATAAAGAGAACCAAACTTGTTTCTCATTTAAACACACATACCTCAAAAAACAACTCTCTCCTTAGTCTATTTTTGTTAGTTAACTTTGAACAAATGGAGCATAAGAAGCTTGGTGCAGAACATCAAGATTCGTACGACGATCAACAGAAATGGGTTCTTGATTCTTCTTTCGACAGCAAAGGACATATTCCTCTCCGGTCTCGAACTGGCGCTTGGAAAGCTGCTTTCTTCATCATCGGTAACAAAACTTTCGTTAAGATTTTTTATACAGAAACTTTATAGCATATATTGTAACACTGTGAAAGTGATGTATAGTAGTCGCATATAAGTCTTTTGTTCCATCTTCTCTGTGAAGCAATCGAGTTCAGCGAGAGATTGAGTTACTACGGGTTAGCTACAAACTTAGTGGTCTACCTAACAACAATTCTACACCAAGATCTGAAGACGGCTATAAGAAATACGAACTACTGGGCCGGTGTCACTACTTTGATGCCTCTTCTTGGAGGCTTTATAGCAGATTCTTATCTTGGCCGTTACACCACTGTCTTGGTTGCAACCACCATTTACCTTATGGTAATATATATTCTTAAATTTTCACCTTAAAGAAATTTTAACTCAAAAGATCCTAAAAACAACATTAAACTCTTTTTTTTTTTTAAATACAGGGTTTGATTCTTTTAACAATGTCCTGGTTCATACCGGGCTTGAAACCTTGTCATCAAGAAGTGTGCGTTGAACCTAGAAAAGCACACGAAATAGCCTTCTTCATTGCCATATACTTGATCTCAATAGGTACTGGTGGTCATAAACCTTCCCTTGAGAGCTTTGGTGCTGACCAGTTCGACGAAGGTCATGCTGAAGAAAGAAAGATGAAGATGTCTTATTTTAACTGGTGGAGTGCCGGTCTATGTGCCGGCATTCTAACGGCTGTGACTGTTATTGTCTTTATCGAAGATAGAGTTGGTTGGGGTGTTTCTAGCATCATACTCACTCTAGTCATGACTATATCACTTGTCATCTTCCTCGTAGGGAAACCNAGTTCGACGAAGGTCATGCTGAAGAAAGAAAGATGAAGATGTCTTATTTTAACTGGTGGAGTGCCGGTCTATGTGCCGGCATTCTAACGGCTGTGACTGTTATTGTCTTTATCGAAGATAGAGTTGGTTGGGGTGTTTCTAGCATCATACTCACTCTAGTCATGACTATATCACTTGTCATCTTCCTCGTAGGGAAACCGTTCTATCGTTACCGGAAACCTTTGGGTAGCCCTTTGACGCCAATGTTGCAGGTCTTTGTTGCCGCCATTTCCAAAAGAAAGCTTCCTTATCCCTCAGATCCTTCTCTGCTTCACGAAGTTTCCGAGGCAAAGTCAAATAATGGGCGGCTTCTATCCCACACAACGCATGTCAAGTGAGTAGGACTATACCCAAAGATACCCATGTTTTTTTTTTTTTTTGGCAAAGAGTGAAAGTTCCGGATGTTAGGTCCATAATCTCGCCCAAATCCGGTATCAACTTTTAAATATCTGATTTAAAAATAATCTTCCATTAGATCCTTATAATTAATATTTATTAAACTTTCATAATTTTTAAAAATATTATAAAAAATAATTTGTAAAGTTATGATGAAAGTATATATATATTCATATTGAAAATTGTTGCCCCTTTTATTATTTACAGTAAAATACATATATTAAAAAAAAGAAATTAAACCGCTAACTATTAAGAAATTAAGATTACGGGATCGGTCACTGGCAATTGCAGCGCTTATCCCCATTTAAGCCAATCATGACTACCACTAGATTATTACTCTCTCCGTTTTATTATAATTATTGTTGTAAAATAAAATTTATGTTGCAAAATAAATATTGTCTTAAAATTTTAATGTAAAATTTACTAATTTTATATGATATTCTATTTTTCTATTGGTTGAAATGTAGTTAAATGTATTAATAATAAATGTTTATTTAAAATATATAAAATTAAATATTTTTTTAGTTTGTGTGTATATATTTAAAAAGACAATTAAATGAAAGGGAATGAGTAATATTTTGGTAATATGTCCATGCTTCTACATCCTAAACTGATTCTAGTGTGGATTTTTTTTTTAAATTTGCAGATTTCTTGACAAGGCAGCAATAATTGAAGACAACAGTCCTCAAGCTCTCCAGAAACAGAGTCCATGGAGACTGGCAACATTGACAAAAGTAGAGGAAACAAAGCTGATCATCAACATGATCCCCATATGGCTCTCCGTGTTGGTCTTTGGCATTTGTGCTGCACAAGCTTCGACTTTTTTCATCAAACAAGCAACCGTCATGGACAGACACACAGCCGGTAAAAACAGCTTCACAATCCCTCCAGCATCCATTTACTGTCTCACAGCTATCACATTGATCATGTACGTCACCGTCTATGATAAACTCCTTGTTCCTTTCCTAAGACGCAACACACAGAATCAAAGAGGCATCAATATTCTCCAGAGGGTTGGAATCGGTATGTTTTTTGCCGTCATCACAATGATCATTGCAGCTTTAGTTGAGCAAAAACGACTTCACCATCTTACCGAACACGATAGACCCATGATGAGTGTGTTTTGGCTTGCTCCTCAGTTTATAGTCCTTGGCGTTGCAGAAGGGTTCACACTCGTTGGACTCCAAGAGTACTTCTACGACCAAGTCCCAGACTCTATGAGAAGCTTAGGTATAGCGTTCTACCTAAGCGTGCTAGGAGCAGGTAGCTTCCTTAACAATCTACTGATCACTGTTGTTGATTCACTAGCGGATGATTTCTCGGGCAAGCGTTGGTTCGGTAAGAACTTGAACAGTAGTCGGTTGGACTGGTTCTACTGGTTGCTAACTGGTCTAACCGCTGCCAATATATGCGTCTTTATGATTGTGGCAAAGAGGTTTCCTTACAAAAGCGTGCAGCCAAGCCAAGTCTTAGCTGATTCGTCCGTTTCCGTTGCCTAAATAAATAATTTTCTGAATAGTTCAAAACGTATTTCTTTTTGCCTTCACAATAATGATCATCACAAACTATAGACTTCTTCCAATCATAGCCTGCTTAATTAAAATTCTGTAATAGGTGACTTTCCCGTGTTTATATATAAGGATTTAAATATTTTTATAAATAAATAAATTTTAATAAACAGTTTTGGTAGTCATTTTTATTATTTAGATATTAGCAACCACAAAACAACATTAGTTTTACAACAAACACCCGTGAAACATACAAAGCCTTGAAACCCTATGTTTGAACGAAATAAAAGAAATTACGTCCTGTAACACTTATTCGGTAGGATTCGTAAGAAGCAAACAAATAACATCAAAACAAACAAAGGACAAACGCTTGCATGTGTTTTAATCAGCCACCGCCTCCACAGCCACCACCTCCACCACAGCCACCACCTCCACCACAGCCACCGCCTCCACAGCCACCGCCTCCACAGCCACCACCTCCACCACAGCCACCACCTCCACCACAGCCACCGCCTCCACAGCCACCGCCTCCACAGTCACCACCACCACCCCTACCACCACCTCCTCCTCCTCCTCCTCTTCCTATACCGACTTCAGTTGTACATCTTTTGAAAATGGCCGTAAGAACTCCCAAAGCAAAGAAGACAACAAATAAGCTTAGGACAATTATTACTATAGCCTCCATGTTACACAACACACCTTAAGACTTGAGTTGTGGGTAATGATTTCTTTTGACCAAAAATAGAGAGTAATGATTGATATCTCTACGAAGTATAAAGTCTCGATGATATATAACACAGCTTTTTTTTGTCTCTGATGTTTTCCTGTAAACAAATAACGTGTTTAGTTTGCATTGACTTAGACTTTTTAATATTTATATGTTTAGATATAGTTCGCTTTTGTTGTAAGAAGATTTGGTCACGGGTAAAACTTGTATAAAACGTAAAACCTGTGATGATGTGATCACAGTAGTTGATTCTCTAGCGGATGATTTCTCAAACAAGAGTTGGTTCAGGAAGAACTTGAACAGCAGCCGGTTAGACTGGTTCTACTGGTTTCTAGCTGTTCTAACCGCTGCCAATGTATGCGTCTTTATGCTTGTGGCTAAGAGATTTCCTTACAAAAGCGTGGAGGACTCAAGCCAAGTCTTAGCTGACTCGTCGGAGTCTGTCGCCTAAACAAATAATTTTCTGAAAAAAATCATAACGTTTCCTCTTCTTCTTCTTTAGACTTTCACAATAATCAGAAGTTTTCTTATTTTTATCACAAATTATAGACTTCTTCTAACCATAGTCTGTTAAGTAAATTAAATATGTGTCTTTCCGTGTTCATTTAAGGAAAGACTATCCGTGTTCATTTAAGGAAAAACTAAAATTTTGACCCGCGGGTATCATTTTTGTTGTTTTATCTCCAGAAAATGTTCTTGTCTAATATAACTTTCCAAAATTATTATAGATTTTAATTTATTATTATCATCAATATCTATGTAAATGTATTATATGTAATTGTGTAGTTTTATTGGGAAAAATAGTATCAATTAACTACGCTTGGTTCTAGAAAGCGAGTCAAACTCACCCTACCTGAACCGCCTGACCTGGAAAGAAAATATTTATTTGTATCCGCCCCACTTGATTTTGCGGATAATCTACCTGACCTGCAGATAGTTATTAATAATAAACATAATATTTTTTATTTTTTTCTAAAAAAATAATATTAAATAGTATATTTTTAATTAATTTTTAATTTTATTTTAAAAATTAATTCTTTTAAGGAGATTTCGTATATTTTTGAAAAATAATTTTTTTGCTTTTTTTCTTCTATTTTTCCAGATTACCGGATGCCCATAATTGAAATTATAACAATTCGCATCCGTCCCGGATAAAATATATTTAACATACACCCGCACCCACAACTTATGTTTTTCAAATATCGATTGACCCATTCCGTCCTGGATCAAATGAGGTAGGACCAGCGGACTAATAATTAGAAGGTGAATTTGACACATTAATAAAATCCATTAGTATATAGTTTTTAGGTCCATAATACAAATACCAAATTGTCACTAATGAAAATTAAATTTGTTCATAATATTAAATTTATTATTGAAAAACATAAAAATCCCATTAAAAGAAGTGATCTTGTTTTAATGGTATTGATTTGTTTATAAAATAATAAATTATAGTAAGTAGTTTGGATTTAAATTTTTATTATTTAATTATCATTATTTTAAAAAATTTTATTCATCACAACCACAAAACAAATTTTACAACAAACAACCGTGAAACATTCAAAACATTAATTTTACAACTTATGGGAGCAGGCTGCGCTACTTCTTACCTTCGGTTTTAAGAAGTCGACAATTATATACACAGAGTGCTAATCATTATTCTGACAAATCCCTATAGTTCTTACGAAATAAAGAAATTGTCCTATAACACTTTAGGTAGGACACGTAAGAAGCAAACAAAAAACATCAAAACCGTGACATAGAAGAAGTCTAGCTAATCAAACTAAGACTTGGTTATGATTGCATATCTTAATCACTCTCCTCCTCCACCACCACCTCCACAGCCACCGCCTCCACCACCACCCCCGCCTCCACAGCCACCGCCTCCACCAAAACCTCCGCCTTCACATTCACCGTCATCACCACCAACACCACCTCCGACAACAGTATCCCCACCGCCACCTCCTCCTATCACGACACCCGTTGCACATCCGTTGGAAATGGCCGTAAGAACCCCCAAAGCAAAAATGACAAATATGATTATGAAGATTATTGCTGAAAAATGCATGTTACACAACAACACAGGTTGAGGCTTGAGTTGAGTGTAATGATTGAAATCTCTACGTTAACTATTAAGTGTTGATGCTATATAACACATTTTTTGTTATCTCTGATGTTTTCCTGTAAACAAATAACGTGTTTAGGTTGCATGGACTTAGACTTTTAGTATTTATATGTTTACATTCAAAACTTGAATAAAACGTAACCTCTGAAGCTTTGACGCCAAATATTATATGATAAATCTTGTAAATAAATTTGAATTCCAATTGATGTTTCTACGCTGAACTGATGTGACATCTTTACACCTATCTGACCAGATACAAACATTACGCACATTTGATTTTTGATCGGTCTATTGAATTTTGGTTCTTAGAAAAAAAAACCTTATTGCTTTTGTTTGGTTCTTGTTTTCATCAAACTTCAAGAATTTTATTTTACGATTAAAAACATTCACTAAGTCATTACCCAAAGAGGCAATTAGTAAGACGTCCCACAACATAGATTATATAGGATATGATAGTTCACAGTTCTCCTATACAAAGGTAAGTGGAAAGTGGAAACATTTATTTTTAATCTTAAGAACTTCTCATCTCTTTGATCGTAAAAGATCCAAACCAAAGGCTATATTCTTCATGGAACAACGTAACCTGCAAAAAAAGCAATAAAAAGGTAAGTTAATTCAAAAGTACATATATTATACATTACTCATCATGAGTTTTACAGAAGATTGAATCCATACGTCCACATCGTTTGCCAGCGGGGCGGTTGCGGATGTTACAGCGTTTAGGAACAGCGACTGCGTTTCCAGGATTGATTCCAGCTTTCTTGGCCAAAGGTGAGAGCATGACAGCACAAAGACAACGAGGGTTGGTTCTAATGAGAGCACCAACTTTGGCACAACAAACCGGTGGAACCTTACCTCTTGGGTTCTTTGTAGCAGCCAAACACGGGCTTAGGCTAGCCGCAGCTTGACCAATGGGCATCCGACCACACTCACCTGCCGCCTCAACGTAAGCCAATGTGATCAGAAGACTCATCAAAGCCACAGCAATAAATTTACACCACTTCATGTTTCTCCTTATTTTGTTTAGTGTTTGTGTTTTAGTCTCTTAGTGTGCTTTGGTGATTCTTATATAGTAGTAACATGTGTTAGTGGGGTGGTTGTGTTTTAGTAACGTGTACAGTTTACAATGGATCTTTTAAACTTTTCCCATTATGTAATCATTTGGTTTTTGTTACTTTGATTTAGATTTCACCATCTGTCGCTTGATTTTAATCACACTCTAAAACATTTCTTCATTCACAATATATGACTGTTTCTAATCATTTTATTCATTACTTTTAGAGCTCAACTACCCACCTAGCGAGTTCTGTAAACATACCAGGAATCAAACCAAGTGGGCTACAACAATACATGGTTTCATAAGATTTAAGACATACATAAGAGAAACGAGGTTTGTTTGGTCTTTTTTTATTCACTGACAACCGCTCAATCTCGCCCAATCCACAAACTGCATCCCACCGTAGATGTTATTAGCAAACCTTACACCAACTGTAAACGCCAAAGCCACAGGAGGCACATTCTTGGCGAAAGGTGATGCTTCAACCACTCTCTCTAGACCATTGATGATCTGGTAACGAGTATTGGAAGAAACACTCAAGAATACACCTGCAGTTATATTACCATTGTCATGGAGATTCATGATTCAATAAGGTAGAAAAGCCAAGATAGATATGTATATACCCCAGAGAGCTGCGCTCTTGATGAGAGGTGGTACTGGGATGTCTTCTTCTGATTTATTTATGCTCCTGAGACAAAGAGAATGAACGAACTTAAGACACATACAAAAACTAAGTGACCCTTTTAGTGGAAAAGAGGTGTGTGTGTTTACCGTTTAGCAGTCATGATGAGATTAGCAATGCCTTGACCTACAATACCACATCCAAACCCAACTGCACCATACATTATACCCTTGTAGAAGTATGTAGCAAGTCTCTGTTGTGCAGAGAATCTACACCCTGGTCTTTCAGCTTCAAACACGCTGTGCACATCAGTAGCGACCAGAGTTACAAGATGTAAGCAAGTATATAATAAGTATTGAGTATCTTCTTGAATTGAAGGAATCTTTTTTTTATNCCACATCCAAACCCAACTGCACCATACATTATACCCTTGTAGAAGTATGTAGCAAGTCTCTGTTGTGCAGAGAATCTACACCCTGGTCTTTCAGCTTCAAACACGCTGTGCACATCAGTAGCGACCAGAGTTACAAGATGTAAGCAAGTATATAATAAGTATTGAGTATCTTCTTGAATTGAAGGAATCTTTTTTTTATTTACCTGCTAGGAAGCGCATTATAAGCATTAAGCATGGGTCCTAAGAAGCCAGTAGATGCAGATGGTTGACCAAAACGGACAAAAGGCGCCAACATACCAACCAGAGCAACGTTAACCACAACTCCAACAAGAAGATCAGCAACATACAACTCAAACTCAGCCCAAAAATCTTTCCCTCTCTTTTGAACTTCAGCAACAGTGGCACAACAAGAATCAATGACTATCTGCAAGAGGCATATCAAAATGCTTACATGAGCCAAATGCAAATGTGGCTCTGAAAATGAACTTCCTTGAGATGAAATCTCCCCTTACCTCAGTCCCTATTTTGAAGAGGAAAGAAGGATCAGCCAACATTCTGTTGCGAAGCATAGACCATGATCTTATAGCAAACCCAAGCAACCCAGCTGAGCTCTAAAACTCCAAAGAAACCAAAACTCAAAACCCTTGTCTTAAAACTGTTTAACTCCATAAAAGGAAACAATATCAAATAGAGACGAAGAGAAGAATGTGTACCTGCAAATCCAAGTACCTAAGGAGAATCAACTTGCGGATGCCAAAGGTCTTAGCAGCCTCTAACATATCAGATGGAAGCGTAGCTCCTCTAGCTTCTGTCTCTCTCATAACCTCTTCAAACTTCAAAAGTGGTCCAAACTCTTTCTCTTCATAGTCTTCTTCTCCACCGTCACCTTCGCCTTCTCCTCCATTTCCACCCCCACCTCCACCATTACCTCCACCACCACCATCACTTACAAGTTTCGGAGGTTCATCAGTTCCTAAGCTTCCAACATTGTCGCCTTTCCCTAAGATGCTACCACCTTCTTCCACTCCTTTGGTTTGTTCAGTAACGGCAACAACACTAGATGATAACGGCTCAACGGGAGACTGAGACATGTTAACCATCAAAAGCCTCGACCCTTTTTGCTCCTTAATCCTCAAAACAGGGACTTTCATTTCCTTGACCAAACCTCCAAACACAAAGTCTCGATTGCGAATCCTCAACGAAGTGATGTCGTGTCGTAACTTCACAGCAATCGAGAACTGACAATTCATTGCACATCCTGCCATTCTCCTCAAAACAGAGATAAGTCGACAAATAAAACCCAACAGAGGGAGAGTAACGACCAATCAAAGACTCTTTCAGACAAGATTCTGCAAGACAGCAAAAAGACAAAAAAAAAAAACACAATAAGTATCAAGAAGCACAAAAGCGTTGTCCTTTTTTTAATCTAGAAATCTAGACAAGATCGAGAGAATGAGGGGGGAGAAGAAGAGACTAACGTATAAAGAAAGATTCAAAAAGAGAATCTTTCATCGATAATAAGAATGAAACTCTAACCTTTGTATTGGCCAGAGAGAGAGACCAAAGAGACGGAGAGTGGTGGTGTGACTGCAAGAGTGATAGGGTCACTGTTTTTAGTTACTTCTCTTTAGTCTCTTACACGTGCGGTAACTTCTATACACGTGTGGAACTTAAACCCTTACTCAAACTTAGGCCTGGGCATTCGGGTAGTCGGGTCGGGTTCGGATCGGGTCCTTTCGGGTCCGGGTCTTTCGGGTCTAGGAGTTTAGGACCCGATAGGGTAATTTCAAATTTTCGGTTCCGGGTCGGTTCGGGTCATACCGGTTTCGGGTCGGTCGGGTCTTAGATAGTTGGACCCATTCGGATAATTAGAATTTATCGGTTCGGATTCGGTTCGGTTCCGGGTCGGGTTCGGTTCGGGTTCGACCTAAAAAATACCTTAATATACAAAAAAATATCTGAAAATAATTATATATCCAAAAATATTCAAAATTTTATTCAAAAATTATGTTTTTATTATACTCAAATGTGTATAAATATTAAACTATGCGAGAAACAACAACAATTCGTTTTCTCCTAGTGGTTGACCCCCTTACTCTATAGAAACAACCCGTCTTCGACTCCCCCTCAATGCATTTTATTTAATTTACATTATTAATTCGGGTACCCATCGGTTTTCGGGTTCGGTCCGGGTCGGGTCCAAGATCCGCGGGTCCTCTACAACAAGACCCGATAGGGTAATTTGATCGGGCCGGTTCCTACCCGGACCTGGTTTTTCGGATCGGTTTCGGGTCGGGTCTTCGGGTCCGGGTAAAATGCCCAGGCCTACTCAAACTGTACGGTAAAGAGAATAAATAAAGCAGGTAAAGATAAGTCTTTGACAAAAGGTATAAATTTATCACACAATTTTACTAAAAATATTTTTACGCATGGTTTTTACTAAAAATAAAGTCTACTACGTACTGTATATTATTCCGGATCGTGTTGTCGTTTTTGGACTCTATATATCTTGACCAAACTTCCATTAAAGCATAATCATGCTTGACATGTTCGATAAAGTATTCTCTCTTGTCAGTTTAAACAGATTTAATTAAATAGAAGAGAAAACAAGTTATCATGTTTTTTATCTTTTGTATTAGAATTCATAGTTGAAAATATATCAAAATATGTAACAATAAGTCAAGCATAACTAGAATAACAGTTTCAAACCGGTGGAACTGATTTCACTAACTCTTTTTTTTGTAGCACATACTTTTATTTATCTGATTACAACAATGCCAAGGTTTTGTGGTGGTAAGCTCACAGCGTAACTGATTTCACTAACTATAAACATTAGTACATGATGAACATCACTAATCAAGTAATACGTCGTTTGTGTGTGTTTGTAACTTACCTATCTTTGTATAAATTATAATGCACATTACACAAAACAAAACAAAAAAAAATCCCAAAAGAGATCCATTCCACCCAATTTTGGTCAGTCAACTTGTCGAAAGTCAACTAATAAACGGTGTCACAAAAATTAACAAGATTATACATTGTACAACTCTCAATATAATATTCAAACAAGCTCTTGTTATATTCCAACATCAAACACCAAAACCACAGTAAAGATGGCTCCAAGAACACCAAAACGCCGCACCGTTCAGCATTTCACGCATACTCATCCACTAACCGAGTTTAACAGCGTCGGTGACTTCATCTGCGACGGCTGCAAAACCTACGGCTCAGGCAAAACCTATCGATGTGAACCATGCAACTACGACCTCCACGATTACTGCGCCACGTGTCCCCTCACCCTACCAACCTTCCTTCATCCCAAGCACGAACTTAACCTCGTCGTCCGTAAACAACAGTCCACGCGCCAGATCGAACGTGCTTGCGACATATGCAACGAGTCGGTGGAAGGGTTGTTCTATAGATGCAAGCTATGTGAGTTTGACGTGCACCCTCTCTGCACGCAGCTTCCTCAGCACGTGAGGCACGTGCTTCACCCTGCTCATCACTTGGAGTTTCGCCTCGGAGGAGATAGCCCGTGCATGGTGTGTTACAACCCGTGTCAAGCTTGGAGGTATAGGTGTGAGTTATGTAAGTTTGATATTCATATGGAGTGTGTATTAGCTGTGTGCAACACGTCACCTCCTGACAAGACCGGAGCATCGGACACTAAGAGTAAAGGGTTCAATCCACAAGGAGGACAAGGACAACCATCATGGTCGGGGCAGTGGCAACAACCGCATATGGGTTACCCGTATGGGTATGTACCGATGGGTCAACCACCACATTTTGGTTACCCTTATAATGGGTTTGGACATATGGGTCAACAACCTTATCATCCTCAAAATTTTAATAACTTTAGCAACGGGTTCAATACGAATTCAGGTCAAGTACCAGCGGCCGGAGCAGATCAAAAACCGCCTCCAGGTAAGGGATGGAAGATGTTTACTATTGCATCGAAGCTAACACTTGGGGTTGTTTCTAATGCATTGTTTGGGTTTTCCATTGAAAGTCTCTTTGCGTGAGTTTTGAATTTTTTTACTAAGAAAAAACGCAAAAATAATGTAATATTTTCTTTCCTTTTCATTAAATAAAGTTGTTAGCCGATGTGAAACATTCAATTTTGTTCCCGTAATTTATAATCTTTAATACTCTCTCAGTTTCAATTTACATATCGTGGAAGAAAAAAATATTTCAAAATAAAAGTTATTTTAGTGTAAAATTTATTAACTCTATATATTTTTCTATTTATTTCTTAGTTGAGGATTGATGCGTAGATAACTGTATTTTTTATTTTGAAAATAGTTAAAATTAAATATTTTCTTAATTTTTGTGTAAAAATCTAAAACAACAACTAAAATGAAACGAAAAGAGTATCAACCAAATGACCAATTTTTTTTTTCTGATGAAGATAAATAATTAAATGTAATTATGGAATGTCAATTATCCTAAAATACCATTAGTTATGCTCAGTCTACTAGCCAAAGTCAACAAAGCTGCTCTATCACGTTCTCAGAATTTCTGACGAAGTTAAAGTTGATATTTTGGTAGAACAAGTGCAATGTAAGTTTATATTTTTGTAAACGCAATTAAGCCTAAACTATTATTTGTTTGATATGGTCTAAACAAACCTTCATACCCAAGTAGTCAAGTTTCCAAACGAAGTTTTCTTGAGAATTGCGTATAAACACCATTCATTATCTCAAATAACGTTCACTCATGCCATTATGTGTAAATTCTCTATTATTTATGTTAGCCTTTGAGCCTCTCTTTGCATTAAGTTTACAAATTTTTCGTCTAGCTTCTTTAATTATACGCTTCATACGACAAGTAGTTGCATCTTAAGTTTGTAATAATGGATTCGAAATCCAATCTTAACTAGAGCAGCATTGTCTTTATTTTTATGAAGATTTGAAAACGTAGGACAACTAAAGAGAGAGCTTATGAGTAAAATGTTGTACCTCTCCAAAAGAAACAAGTCGTAGTACTAATAATAAACTGATATCTGTGACAAACACGTGGAATGATATGGCACAACACATGATCCAATGATGAGTCTCATATCATATCTCACCGTCCCAAAGCTGTTCAAGAGTCTTATAAGGACTCGTCTCATGAACGAATGACATGCCTCTCACCAACCTTCCCTGCAACATTGGAAACACAACATCTTTCAACTTTAGATAACCTTGAGACTTGAGAGCAAAACAGAGAAAGCTTCTTTGGACCTATTTGGAATGCACTCCACTTGCCTGTTCAATCTCAGAAAACTTGGATAACATGTCATCTGGTATGGACCAGCTGAAAACATCGAAGTTCTGTTTGATCCTGTCTTCATGTGTGCTTTTTGGAAGAACACTTTGACCCATTTGGAGACCCCAACGTAATGCAACTTGTGCAGGTGTCTTGCCTAGCTTCTCAGCAGCTGTGACTAGAATCGGGTTCGTCAGAACATCGCTCTTAAGCCATGTTGTCCCTGGAGAACCCAACGGAGAGTATCCCTACAAAATGTTTTCCGACATCTTTTGTCAGATATACAAAAAGGGAAACAAAACATGTTTGTTTTACATACAGAGAGGTGGACGCCTTTGGATTTGCAGAAATCCCTGAGCACAGTTTGTTGCCATGAAGGGTGACACTCCACCTGGTTAACAGCAGGAGGGACACGAGCCACCTCCAAGAGATCTGAGAGTTTCTTTGTGGAGAAGTTGCTTACACCAATAGCTCGAGCCTTTCCAGCATCAAAGAGTGATTCCATTGCTTTCCATGTGCTAGGAATATCAGTTGGTAAAATGTTCTCTGGCTTGAAACCAGTAGAACCTTTCTTGAGACTAACAGGCCAATGGATCTTCAAAAGGTTCACAAAAAAAACGTTAGTGAAGTCAAAATGGTTCCGCAAGAAGTCAATAGAGAATGTTGTAACAGTATTTGACACTAGTTATAAGACTTAAAGGAACAAGACAAGGTTTCTTGATATGTTTACTTACGAGATACAAATCGAGATAGTCAAGCTGTAGATCCTGCAGAGTTTTGTTCAGAGCCTCTGGGACATCTTGGGGATCATGATAAGTACACCTTTCATGTAAACATGTTAGAATCTACAAATGATCACGGAAAAGAAAATAACCATAAAAATAACTAAGGCACAGTGATGGAGAATCACCAGAGCTTGGATGTGATGAAGATCTCCTCACGCTTAACAACTCCATCATCAAACAGTTTCTTTAAGACTAACCCAATCTGCAAGAGTAAGAACTTGTCAGTGGCAAACAAAGACAAATGGGTTCAGTCATTTAATATCAAAAAAATCAATCATTTTGATTAATGACAAGAATACACAAAGAAGCACACAATTATAATCACACAAAACAACCAAATAGTACAGCACAAACCATAACCAAGAAACATACATTTTTGGCTTTAAAACTCCATGGAAATAAAAAAAAAGTATTGATATTTTAATCGCCACTTCACTTGAAAACATATAACAAAAGATGAATAAGCTTTATTTACCTCTTTTTCATTACCATAGATTTGAGCGCAATCAATGTGGCGATATCCGATCTGCATTAGTATTAGTAACAGAATCAGTATTTGGCCATAAATACTGAAACTTCACGATAAGTGATCAATCACATACACAGAGACTAACCTTAACAGCGGCTTCTACAGCGTTTCCGACAAGACCAGGATCAGACTGCCACGTTCCGAGACCCACCGATGGTATCTTCGCTCCGGTGTTTAGCTCGAAGAACTTGATCTCGTTCGCCATTATCAGAGCAGCTACAACTATAGCTAGAGAGAGAGAGAGTCGGAGACGGTGAGACAAGACTGATCAAAAGGAGACAAGAAAGATGAATGAGTTTTAAGTATAGTTGAGTTTGGTTAGCCCATTAGTGGTAATGAAATTGTTTGTTACTAAGACTTGGGCCCTATATATATATATATTTCGATTATCTGTAAATTTTTATTTTTATTTTTTTGGGCAGACTATTCTCTTGAGTGTTATCTGTTTTCATAATTCTAGTTGTGTTTGAGAATTAAAAAAATGCGTAAAAAAATTCAAGTTGAAATAAAAAATAGCGCCTATATGCCAAATAGCAAAAAAAAAAAAAAAAAAAAATGTTTTCTAATGAAAGAGTAGAGAAAGATAGGTAAAGAAATCAAAAGAGAATGGGAAATTTTATTTAGTTAGTAAATTTAGTTTTTTTTATGGCTATCTCACCTAATTTCCCATAAAGATATGCATACAGCAGTGTATATAATTTTATTTTATATAGTGTAGATGTTGAACAATATGCCTAGGATGATGATATTAAAAACACTAATTACAAACGATAAACTACCAATTCTTAGTCGTATGTAACAAGAAACTAATTATTATCAGATTTCAGAAATTTCAAATTGGCAATGGCCGGCTCGGTTTATCATTCATTACAACGATTTTATGATTGAAAAGTTAAAGACATGTCGACCGCAAATGAAAACGAGTCATGTAACAGAAAATTTCAACTTAATATTATTTCATGTACAATATCAATAATTTGAAATAGAAAAACATTTTAACATAAGTGACAATTTCTTCGTGTGGATCAGTCAACTCCACCAAAGTCAACTAAATTTGTATTAATAGTGCACCAACGGATATTGCATATGTACAAACATCTCTAACGATAACAAACACCAATTAAGAAGATCAAAAACAAATCTCCGGTTCAAACCCCAAAACGGCAGGTGAGAGATGTCAAAGCCTAACACAATTCAGCGTTTCACGCATAACCATCCCTTGACCGAAGTCAACGTAGCTGGCACATACACATGCAATGGTTGCAAACTGCAAGGTCACGGCAAGACCTACCGGTGCAAAGACTGCGACTACGATCTCCACGAATATTGCGCCACGTGTCCTCCGACCCTCGTAAACACATGGCACGCGCCTGGTCATGAGCTAACCCTGTTCACCGGTCCTGCCCACATGACCGAGCGTTTGTGCTATTTTTGTCGGTTTTACATCCAAGGGATGTTCTACAAATGTAAGAACTGTAATTTTGAATCTCACCCGCTTTGCACACACGGTCTAATGCATGTCTCACCTGCTCCGGATGCAACGATAACAAAGTCTAGAAGCCTGCATGACCATGCGGCGCAGCCATCATCACCGCACCACTATGGTCAAGGATATTCACATATGAGTCCACCATACCCTTATGCTCATCAACAACAACAGGTCATGAACCATGGTTCTCCAAAGGCAGATCGCGATAGTTCAAGTAGGTCTACAAAGAAAAAAGGGAGTACTTTTGGTGGAAAATTCAAGACTGCAGCAGGAGCAACTTTATCGATAGTAGCCCAGGTTGCCTTGGGTACAGCTGCCGGGAGCTTGTATGAAGAATATGAACAACCATAGTTTCTTTTGTGATGATTTTTTTTTTATATTTTGTAATGGCCTTTTGTGTGTTTTCATTTTGGCTTTGTTTTCCGTTACATGCGTATAAATCTATGTATGTGTCTCAGTTTCAAATTATCACATGAATGCAAATTGTTCTGTTTTATTGATGTAGATTCAATACTTGAAGTCGACTTCTATTTGTAAATCTAATTAAATTTTCTTAGAAGAAACTCTTTGTTAGCTTATGGTTGCAAAAGTACTTGAGTTCCATAATGACAAAATCGGTAAAACAAATAAATTAAAAAACGATGTATATGATTCTTGAAATATGCGGTCTATAAGTTACAATTAGTGGGCACATTCAATTTTTCGTTTAGACAACTTAGCTGTAATACAATGTGAACGTAGCTTTTGACTGGTATGTTCACGAACAAACCATACGGCTAAACATCACATTTCAATTTGAGATGACTAAAATACATAACAAAGGTATAAATGTAATATTTTTATTATATTCAAGATAACAACAAATATGATAATAAATCTTTTCGGTAACACTCATGAACAAACCAATTACAGAACAGCTTAAAATCATATCTCGCCATCCCATAACTCTTCAAGAGACTTATAAGGGCTCAGTGTCTCGTGAACAAAGAAGGAAACATCCAATAACCTAGCCTGTATTTAATCAAAATACATAACTCTCAATTCTAGATCAAGCACAGGAAGTAACAGAGAAACTTATGTAATCTTAACAAATTGTAAGAACAAGGTGAGGATGTAACACTACCTGTTCAATATCAGAAAACTTGGTAAACAAGTTATCGGGTATATACCAGTCGAAAACATCTAAGTTCTCACTGATCCTCCCTTCATTAGTACTTTTGGGAAGTACACTGTGACCCATTTGGAGTCCCCAACGGAGTGCAACTTGAGCAGGAGACTTCTCAAGCTTTTCCGCAACCATATTCAGTATTGGGTGCTTCAGAACATTGCTCTTGAGCCATCCTGGAGAACCCAATGGAAAGTATGCCTTGCAATAGTATCCAATCAATATATAAGGTAAGACACAAATAGAGAAAGTATATCTAGTGGTGAAATGAGTGATGGTTACACTGAGGTGAACCCCTTTGGATTTGCAAAACTCTCGAAGCTTAGCTTGTCGCCAAGAAGGGTGACATTCGACCTGATTAACAGCAGGAGGAACACGAGCTAGCTCCAAGAGGTTTTCTAGTTTCTTGGTGGAGAAGTTGCTTACTCCTATGGCTCGTGCCTTGCCTGAATCAGTGAGTGATTCCATTGCTTTCCATGTGCTAGGAATATCTACAGGTAATAAGTTCTCTGGCGCCACTCCAACAGAACCTTTCTTCATCCGTACAGGCCAGTGAATCTTCAAGAAGATCATATAGAAATCGTTACTGAATAATATTTCCATAAATAACACCTCGGTAAAAGAAACCAACATGTGAATTAATATGAGATATAAAATCTTGTTATATAAAACTACATGGTAACATTTAATATTGTATCAAATAGTATTTCCACTATAGGGATGAATGCTTACCAAATACAGATCAACGTAGTCAAGCTGCAGATTCTGTATAGTTCTGTTCAGTGCCTCTGGCACATCTTGAGGGTCATGATCAGTACACCTTTTATCAAAAGTTTAAAATGTTACGCTTTATTAATCAGACGCTATTCATTAGTTAGACATGATACAACACAAGATACCAGAGTTTGGAGGTGATGAACAACTCCTCGCGTTTCACTACACCTTTTTCACACAATTTTTTCAAAGCTGTCCCAATCTGCATAGGAATAGTTGATTTCACATTGTAATGTAATTATACATAGCTGAAATAGATTTTAATTAAGTGATAGTTGATTAACGGCTACATTAGGCCAACTAGATTATACCTCGATAAGATTAGCCTCAACATAAGATAACTAACAATCATATACTATGTTTTAGGAAATCGAATGGTACATGAACATAGAACTAAGCTTGGCTAAATCATGTATCTATGCACCTACCTCTTTTTCGTTACCATACAACTGAGCACAATCAATATGACGATAGCCGATCTGCAATAAGAATTTATGATTACCTTAGCTTCATTATCAGACTTAAGCATATAATGACGATGAATACAAACCTTGACAGCAGCGGCGACGGCATCGCCAACGATGCCAGGAGAGGCCTGCCATGTGCCAAGACCCACAGACGGGATCTTAGCACCGGTGTTGAGCTCAAAGAATCTGATAGAGTTCGCCATTGTCAGAGATTTGGTGATTTTGAATTTAGAGCTCAAAGAGACTGATAGAGTTCGCCATTGCCACGTCAGATATCGACCATTACATGGACGTATATCATTCGTTCACGTAGATCTCTTCTTTGTTATCTCGAATGAGATTGTTCAAGTAACACATTTTTGGTCCACGCATGCATTGGCCCCAGCGTATTTAATGAGCAAATCGATACATTTGCACCGTCCTCGGTTCTAAATTGCATGTTACGTAGTTTAAGACTTTTTATAAATTTTTAAAATTTGTTAAAAATTGTATAATATATTTTTATCATATCTTAACTAGCAATGTTATCTTAAATAGAAAAAAGCTTAGCTAACTACTGTATAAACAGATTTTTGGAGTTCAATTTCTAAAATGAAACCTTTTTTTTTTAAAACGTAAGCAAATATTTCTGAGATCATATATTCAAATTTTATACAATTTTCAGGGTTTGGAAATTAGAGTTCTTATCACATAAATCACATTATTTTTGTGGTTCCTAGAAATTTCTCAGTTCGAATAAATTATTTACATAATTGTTATGCAGATATGGGTCCATATGGGCCATACCCTCATTGTGGTGGTCATCAACATCTCAAAATTACAATTTGGTGGCACATTCAATTTATCGTTTAGACAAATCTGGCACTAATTCAACTGCAAACATCACATTTTTATTTGAGATGACTTACAGTTTATTGCGAATTGTATATTCGGATCAATAACTTCTTTGAACAATATAATTCAAAATAACAACAAACATTAAATATAAATTATTTGAGTGGCATCATTTTTATAGATAAACTGGCAAGTTTACAGAGAGAGAGAGTAACCTCCCATTAATGACAAAACAATTAGATCCGTTGAAATATCATATCTCGCCATCCCATAACTCTTCAAGAGACTTATAAGGGCTCAGTGTCTCATGAACAAAGAAGGGAGCAGTCAGTAACCTAGCCTGTATTTAATCAAAGTACATCAATATTAATTACGATCAAGCCAAGTTAACGTAATGAAATGTAATGAACGAGGTGCTGACCTGTTCAATCTCTGAAAACTTGGCAAACAAGTCATCGGGTATTGACCAGTCGAAAACTTCAAAGTTCTCTCTAATTCTTCCTTCATTAGTACTCTTGGGAAGTACACTGTTACCCATTTGGAGTCCCCAGCGAAGGGCAACTTGCGCAGGAGACTTTCCAAGTTTCTCAGCAACATTAGTTAATATAGGGTTCTTCAAAACATCACTCTTGAGCCAAGTTGTTCCTGGAGAACCCAATGGCGAGTATGCCTGCAAGAAAATTGAATTAGTGTATTGGGAAATTTAAATGGATTGGTGAGATGAGTGAGGCTTACGGTGAGGTGAACTCCTTTGGATTTGCAGAACTCTCGTAGCTTAGTCTGTTGCCAAGAAGGATGACATTCGACCTGAACAACGGCAGGAGGGACACGAGCTAACTCCAAAAGATCAGCTAGCTTCTTGGTTGAGAAATTGCTTACACCTATGGCTCTTGCCTTGCCTGAATCATAGAGTGATTCCATTGCTTTCCATGTGCTAGGAATATCTACAGGTAAAAGGTTCTCTGGCTTAGCTCCAACAGAACCTTTCTTCATCCTTACAGGCCAGTGCATCTTCAAGAAGATCACAAAAAATTGTTACTCACTAAATCTTCCCTAAATTAAATAGACTCCATCAGAAAAGTGCTATATAGATTAGGTTTAAGTTCTTATTAAGATATGCTACTTATCTCACCTCTGAATCAAAATGAGATATAAAATTTATCGCACAAGTTCTATTGGAGTGATGCTTACCAAATAGAGGTCGACGTAGTCAAGCTGTAGATCCTCTAGAGTTCTGTTCAGTGCCTCTGGCACATCTTGAGGGTCATGATCAGTACACCTATAATTTGATGATACATAATATGAAAATGCAAAGATTAAACCTAGACTTAACCCACAGAATATGCATTGAATAAACACGACATAACACAATGTACCATAGTTTAGAAGTGATGAACAGCTCCTCGCGTTTCACTACATTGTCTTCAAACAATTTTTTTAAAACTGCCCCTATCTGCACAGGACAACAACACACTTAAACAATGCTAATAATTTTATCTGTAAATGTAATATCAATGGAGACTCACTAATATCCATCTGAAAGAATCAGAAGATAATTCAATTTGGCTAAATCAAAAAAATCTACGTGTTTTGTTCTACCTCTTTTTCGTTGCCGTAGATCTGAGCACAATCAATATGACGATATCCGATCTGCAACCAAACATTAAGATGAAAAGTATATTTATGTTTCTAAATTTACATACGGCCACAAATTAATTAAACAAATAAAAAAGCATGCGAAAAACGAAAAAAAGAAAAGAAATTGAGATATTTCTAAAAAAAAAGTATGTTTCTGAGGTCTATAAAAAAAGGTAATAGCTGAACATATTTTCATATTTATTAGGAAAAATAACATTTGTATGATATACATCAATTAACAACTAAGACTGTAAGGAGATCAACAGATCGATGAACCATGGAATCTAAGTATTTGCAAGAAAGGCGAACCTTAACAGCAGAAGCCACGGCTTCGCCGACAAGGCCAGGGGAGGCTTGCCATGTTCCGAGACCCACCGAGGGGATCTTAGCTCCGGTGTTGAGCTCGACGAATCTTATTGCGTTCGCCATTATCAGAGAGAGTTTAGATTAAGATCGCTTGTGTTGTGTTGACTGTTGAAGCACACTGCGTTTCTCAACTACATTCACTTATTAACAATAGCAAAAGAAGACAAAAGAATAGTTTAAAGGGAATGCGACAGAGGCGGGAGATTCGTGGCGAAATTGACTTCGTTCTTGCATTCTTAGTAACGACACGTCAGATGTAGTAGTTCATTACGTGGATACATCTTTTATTTGTTTATTTAGGCGATCTCTCTACTAATTTCCAGTGCTGAAACCAATGGTGTAGTAGCATATATATAATATTTATGGCCGTACTTTTCAATATTACAATTGCTTGTTTTTTGTTCAGAATTTATTTATTTTTTGTCTATTTTAAATAAAATTAGAAAAGTGTATAACAAAAAGAAAACTATAAAGAATTTATTTTTGTATCATCAAAGGTTATCTTATTAATTACACCGCCGATAAAAGCAACTTTTCCCCGGCCGCCGTCTAAGATCAACAGTTTCACATTAAGCTATATGATCTATCAACAGTTTCACATTAGGAAAAAAACATTGAAGTTGTTTTTCTTGTTAATAGCAATTTATTTAACAGTTTTTATTAAAACTGATTTATGTCATTTCTACAATAATTCCATGTCGCTTTTGATGTTTTTCGCTCGCAAACAATCCCACAACACAAACAAGAACAAACATGAATTATTATTAAAACATAATACATAATTTAGTTGGTCCTTCATGTCTAGATAAAGCTTCTCAAATTTCACCGTCCCATAGCTCATCAATGGTCTTATAGAAACCGAGCGTTTCATGCGCGAATTCAACACCTCGGACTAACTTCTCCTGAAAGATGTAAAATGGACATGAAAATCATTAGCAAGTTAGCAATAAAAGATGTACTGAGGTCTTATAAACTTCGCATAGAAAGAAAAGAAGAAAAAGGAATAAAAGATCTTGCCTGTGGAATGGTAGAGAACTTAACAAACAGATCTTCAGGTATGGACCAGTCAAAAACATCAAGATTCTCTTGGAGTCGAGCCTCGCTTGAGCTCTTTGGTATAACACTATGACCCATTTGGAGTCCCCAACGAAGAGACACTTGAGCGGTGGTCTTCCCAAGCTTCTCCGCAACCTCAGTGACAATTTGGTTCTGAAGAACCTTTAGCCTAGCTTCTCCCTTATTAGTTTGGGAGCCCAAAGGAGAGTAACCCTACAATCCCAAACAAATAATATCAATCTTCTTCAATCACACCGGCCAAAAACATAGTACATTAGGAATGTGTATTGTATACTCACGGATAAGTGAACTCCTTTGGATTTGCATAGTTCATGTAGAGTTTGTTGCTGCCACACGGGGTGGCATTCCACTTGGTTAACAGCCGGGACTACTTGAGCCACTTTAAGAAGATCTTCGAGCTTCTTTGGTGAGAAATTGCTAACACCGATTGCCTTAGCTTTTCCAGAGTGATAGAGAGCTTCCATTGCTTTCCATGTAGTTGGTAAGTCTGGCTTTGTTAGTGCTTCAGGTGTTGGCATAGGTGATTCCTTCTTCAAGCTCACTGGCCAATGTACCTTCAACAAACATAAATGAAAAATCCACATCCCAAACGTAAGCAATGATAAGAATCTAAAAAGCAATTTTCTAAAAGTTGTATGTATGTACCAGATATAAATCAACGTAGTCAATTTTTAAATCTTGTAATGTTTTGTCTAGTGCCTTAGGTACATCTTCAGGCAAATGATCATTGCACCTACATAACCAAAATAAAACATGAACTAAAAAAAACATTTCCTGATGAAAAAGTTGGTGGTAAAAAGAAAACAAACCAGAGTTTGGAAGTGATGAATAACTCCTCACGCTTCACGGTACCATCATCTATTAACTTCTTCAACACGGTACCTATCTAGTAAATAGAATCATAACGTGAGGAGAACGTAACTATCAGAGACAGAACACTTCAACCACACAGACTTAACATCATATGGTTCTCTCAAATTATTTATGTGATATTAGAAAATTATTTGTTACCTCTTTCTGGTTACCGTAGATGGAGGCACAATCGATGTGCCTGTACCCAATCTAAGATCGAAATTAAAGAGAGTGCATGTAAGTGCAAATCAAAGACAAAAGACTCAAAACATGGAACCGAAACGGTGACGATTTAGGATACCTTAATCGCTTGTTCGATTGTTGATGGGACCAAGGCGTAGGTTCCGAGACCTACCGAAGGTAACTTGGCACCAGTGTTCAGCTCGAAGGATCGAATCGGAGTCATAATTCTAGTGAATAAGAAGAAAGAAAGAGAGAATCTGATGAATATAAAAAGAAGGGGGATGAGAAGCAGAAGAAAAGAAAAGGACGTAACTCATATAAATCAAAAGCAGAAAATGGAAAGAACAATGACACGTACTGCTTTACGCTTTTATGTATTGTCACTGTAGTACGTTATTTCTTATGCAGTCTATCATGAAACGTTATTATTTTTAACGTATATTAAAAAGGTGAAAACGTTATTATCCTTTTTTAGGTATTGGGTTATATGGCATTGTTAATCATTCTGAGCTTTTTTTGTGCGGTTAACACATTCTTTGCTTATAAACAAGACATATAAGCTTTTATTTTAACACTTTTTTAAATGAAAATTCTAATATAAACACTTTTTTCTTATGATTTAAGTATTGTGAAATGTGTCATTTTAATACATTGCTGTTTCGGAATGTAATCGTCTAATTTATTGACTGGATTTGTTTTTGGTTTTGTCAAAAATGTATGATTTGTTACCTAACTAAAATGTCATATTATTATATAACACATAAGACATATATGCTATATTTATGTGAAATTCTTAAATGAATAACATTTTAGTGTTCATTTAAATAACCTTTCACCAATTTTTAGTAGAAACTCTATGAATGCTCATTTCTTGCAACTTACCTGATAATCCATTCTCTAAATATACCACGTTCTAATATTTTTATTAAAAAAACAATATATGTAACTTGGCAATACTGAAAGAAAAAGATAATCACACAATATTTTCTCACAAATAAACCAGGAGCTTCAGATAATTTTTTTATACAATTCAAAGTTTCTTAAAAGAAACACACAAATACAACATGGGATTACCCTTTGGGTTAAAACCCACGTTTAGAGAATTAATCTTCACACCCCAATTATTACATCAGGTTTATTCAACCGGTCCCAAGTTTATATAATTCACAAAACATCAAAGACTAAGCCTAACCAGTCACGACAACGTCACAAACCAACCTTTCCCTCGCGAGTATCTTCTGGTTCCCTTTGGAGTGCGTGTGCATCACTTCACAGCCTGAAGATGAACTGGTGACTGGACTCCCGTGGAAACAGAAAACGTGGTGTTCGTGCTCGTGGTCTTCGACGACGCCATACTAGAGGAAGATCCAAAACCCGAAACTTCCAAACCGGTTCTCCCAAACCGGCCTGAATCGCCCGGAAGACGAACGTAGTAAGAAGAAGAACGCTCGTGGCCATAACGGATTTGCATGACGGCTCGGTAAACAAGCGGAATTAGACCCTCCATTTATGTTTATTGATATAGCAGCCAAAGAAACAGACTCGTTTGGTCTTATAGAGAAAGCGGGATTGCCACGTGGTGTTTCATGATTTGTTGCTGTATCCACAAGTTTCCCACGTCATTTAGCTATACTATATAGTTTAGTATTATATTGAAGGTTAAAAAGAGAAGCAACCCCTTTGAATGTGAAATTGGCTACATGAAGAATCTGAAAACTACATTCAAACTGATATGAAACCACGGCTGGTCCATAGGATTTATCTTCAACAAATATATTCATATACAATTTGATTTTATCCACATCCAGTTTTGATAATGTTTTGCAGCTAAGACTGCTAGCGAGGTGTAAATTGACGATTCTGTCTAAAACTATTCTAATGATTTTTTCGAAAGCAGGATTATAAATTACTAGGTGATTTTCCCGTGCTCATGCACGGACATGTATATTTATAAAATAAATGTTCAATAATAATTGATTGATATTTACTTTAATTTTTAAATTAATTTATATTTTGTATGTCTAATTTATATTATAATATTATATTACTTTAATTATATATATAATTTTAGATATGTTATATTTAGTCTATTTTATTGTTTTTACGGTCAATTTAGTTATCATTTAGATATATTGGATTCTATCTATTTCTCTGAATTCAACTATAATCTTTTATATTTTAAATATATTAATTTTTGATTAATTATTTTATTTGCATTTATGCTGGTTGTTATCTTAGAAATATAAGTATATTTAGTAAGATTATATATAACTTAAGATTTTTTGTGCTTAGAAGGAAAAAAATATAAATACTAAAGTGTCTCATTCTAAATTACATACATAAGTAACTAATGAATTTTTGAAGCTTTTGAACACATATCAATATTTACAATAATTAAAATATTTTATAAATTCTAAACATATTTATGCTTTAGATTGATTGGATGGTAAACTGAAATTTATTTTAAATAGTTTTAAAAATAAGGATTCTGATTTGCTTAAATATTTTGACTATGGTTATATTAAGTTTCACAAACATAAAAACATAAAATTAAAAATCAAAAGATTTATTAAGAAAACAGATAACTTTAACTATTAAAATATAATATATCTACCTCGTTAAATTGTATAATATTATGGTATATTAAAATAATTGTAGTTATTTTCTGTTTTTATGTTTGTGAAACTTAATATAACCATAATCAAAATACTTAAGTAAATCAGAATCCTTATTCTTAAAACAGATAATTTCAACTATTAAAATATAATATATCTACCTCGTTAAATTATATAGTGTTGTGATATTTTAAAATAATTGTAGTTACTTGATCAAAAGATGTTTATTATTAAATTTATTTTTAGTTTTATTTTTAGTATCTCTTAAAATACGGTAAAAAATGATTGTTTTTGAGATATTATACTATATAAGTAAAATAGAATTTATATTTTTATTGTAACTGTAAGATATTGTAGTCAAATAAATATACTAAAAATAATTTCAATAATACTAATTATAAAAAATGTCAATTAAACATATATCAGTTTATGTTAGTTGATTATTTTATGTAATCATCTAATAAAATAGAGAGATATATACAAAAATAATTATTTTGAAAATATACATATAAAGAAAAAATATTTCTTTTTCTAATAGCAATATTTTTTGTGTGAATTGTTTTTATGAAATCACATTATATACAGATATTGTTTTTTTTATCTAAGAAGATATAGATATAAAGTATTTTATTATTTCAAAGGTATATTTTATGTTATTTAAAATATATTTAAATTAAATATTACTATTTTGTGAACTTTCTTTTTTTATTAAACCATATTATATATACTTATATTTTCGTTTTTAAATAGTTTTGTAAATTTTATAAATGTTTCCTTTTTATTTTATATTGTTATTTGGAAATTTTTAAAAAGGAAATAATATTTAATTGTATTTTTAATTCATTAGGGGTATCATAGTAATCAACCAGCGTGAGAATTAACGTGAACGCGACACCTAAGAAAGTGATTTCTCAAATAATATTATAGAGATTCATTTGTTGCAGACTTTTCCTATTGTTAAATTCTTCTAATACTTTTCAGTACTTAGACAAATCAGACGAAAATTAATAATTTGTAGAAGAGGCAGGTATCGTATGATCTTTCGGTGTAACACACCTTGTGAGGCATTCTTTTTTAATTTTAAACACAAGATTCAAATATAGTCAATAGATTTGTTAAATGATGACGTTTTTGGGGTAAATATAATAAGAGAGCTTTACGAAGTTTGGCCAGTGGCCACTATTATATATGCTATTTGGTATATTACAAATACTAAATGACTACTATTAGCTATCGGGGGAATTAATTAATCATTTGGTACTGAACAAGATGTTTGAGTGTGATTGATTTGTTTTGGTTTAATGTTCGCTTCATCTGGTAATGACTCTGATTGTGTCCAATAATTCCCAGTTTGACTGAACCTAAAGACTTCTAGGTTTGAATTTCCATTGTTTTCATCATTTTTTCTTTCATTTGTAGTCTTCATTGACACCCAATGTGTTGCCTTCGAGTTTTGGATTACTTAAGATCTCAAAACTTACATTCACTATGAATCCAAAATCTAAGCTACTTGAAAATTCTTCGTTTACCATCAGTGTCTGATGATCAGACCATTCACAAGTAGATTGCTTGTTCACTGAGACTTGTCGATATTTATATGGGCCTTGAGTAGTTAAAGCCCAAATCTTGGTTTGGTACTTTTCCTTATCTCGAATGCAAGTCCTAAGCCCAAATATAGATATATTATCCTAACTTATATCCTTTCCAATATTCTCCAATACTATATGTTCTATTTGTTACTTTCTATTGAATTGATCTATTTTCAGAGATCATGGGAGTTACGAGCCTTACAACCATTATCTTTTCTTATGTTTGGAATCAACACTAAGAAATTTTTATTCGAATAATTCAGAAATTTTTATTTGAATAATACACTATGTACCAAAAGAAATTGGAATCTGAGACACAAAAAATAACCCACTACTCACTATTAGCTCACTAACACAATAAGTAAATTTCGATATGAACTAGTTTTATAGTATGTTACTAATATAGATATAATCTTAATTCTATCAATATAATTCTTCTTGAGCTTGCTTTTATTTCTTAAGTAACCCATCTACTCTATTAAAATAGAGTCCTAAATTTATCTACCATTAAAGTTGTTATTTAAGTTTTGGACTGTTTTAAGTTTATTAGTGTGTTAAATTATTTATGGACCACATTGAGTTAATATGACATATTTACATAAGAAGACTACTTAAAGAATTAGTTAATATGAAAAATTTACATAATAAGACTACTTAAAGAATTAGTTAATATGATATATTTGATTATTTAAATTAATAATAAACCAAATATAAATTTGAATTCCACTTTTTAACTATAACAAAATCTGCTGAAAATAATCTAAAAAATCTTAATTAAAAATTTAAGTATTTTTGTATAAAATAACATATTAATTAATTTCGTAATTAATAATATTATTTTTATAAATCAATGTTAAATAAAACTTTATTATAAAACAAGAAAAAATTATACTATTTAACTATAAATTCTATAATTATATAAAAATAGAAGTGTTAAATAAATTAAATATCACAAGATTATATTAAATAGATATATTAACAAAATTTTATTTTTTAAAATGATTTAATTTAAATAAATTATCACTCATCATTAAAATGGATTAAAATTCATAAACTATATAATATTTTATACAAAAATATATTTTAAAATAGGTTAAAATTTAATACCTACAACCATATATTATCTTCTTTATTTATTTTGAAAATCTCAACAATATATTGTTTAAAATGTTTATATACAAAAACATAATAATATATAATAACCTTTAGGTCATATACTATTAAAACATATGTTATTAGAAAACTATGAAATTTTATTAATTCATTTAAAATATTAACCACAAATCAAATTTTAATTGTAAATTTATTTTTTATTTCAGTTATAAGAAAATCTGCTGAGAAAAATTTACTAAATATGACCAAATATTCAAATATTTTTTTATAAAAAAATATTGATGTATTAACAACAAAATTCAAAATTAATGTAATCTTCCAAACTCAAAATAGTACTGTAATTTTCAAAATTTTCTTGAAAAATATAAATTTTGAAAATAAATATTCAAACTCAAATTGATAACATTTCAAATCATAGAGTTAATAATGCTGAACAAGAAATATAAACAATAATATCATAGAGTTACACAATGTATAATATTAAAATAAAAAATATACATTTAAACTATTTGTAATAATATCAAATATATTTATAAAATAAAAATATCCGCACGGACGTGCGGGTTAAAATCTAGTTTTCCATTATTATATATTGCAAAATTCCCATGTTAATTACTTGCATTGCCGACTCGCACCTAGTTATAAGTTTTGATAGAACAACAAGTCAACAACCATATCACCGCAAAGAATCGTATACACGTAGGTCTGTAGCATGTATATAGTACACGGATTAGTATAGCTACTGCTGATTCTCAAGATTATATAATACAATATTTTTGAATGAAAGATACACACAATTTAATATAGTGCAAAAATCAAAAGACAAATATACGTTACTTGTGGGTATCCACTTGGAATAAGTAAACATAAAAAAAAATTAGATCAGTCAGCTAAATCTTGCTAAACTCCAAAGTTCATATCATCTGAGTTCACAAAATCCCTACGGTCCGATCAATCAAATATATTATATATCAACTCTATGATCGTTTAAAAAATACTCCACCCGTTATGGTTTAAATTTATTTATCACAATTGACCTCCATTATTGTCATTATTCTTCATCTTTTCCGTAATCCACCACCTAATATTAATCATCTAGGGCTCCTCTAACCACCAAAAAAAGGAAGAAAAAACTCTTTTCTAGGGTTTGGCGTCAACTTCCAAGTTGTCCCTAGAGAATGGAGAAACCTGGTGGCCTCTGGATCCCAAAGAAAAGCAACAAAGAATCATCATGGGAAGAGCTGGCCTTCGCTGAAGATGATGCCGCCGGATCTTTGTGGCCGCCGAGATCTTACTCATGTAGCTTTTGCCGGCGAGAGTTTAGATCGGCTCAAGCCCTCGGTGGCCACATGAACGTTCACCGAAGAGACAGAGCACGGCTTAAGCAGCAACCCGACGATCAATACTTATTCTCCAAATCCTCTTCGCCTCCTGAGTATTCATCTCATGATTATACCGATGATATTCGTGAAACCTCTAGCTATACTTTGGTTTTTAACTCCAAGCCTAATGGTTTTGAGTCACAACACTCATGTGTTATTGATCTTTCATCTTCTCCTTCTTCCTTGCCAAATTTGACACCTAGGGTTTCTTCCTCTTCACCATCTTTTCTTGTAAAGCCTTCCAATAATTCTGAAAAGATTATATCTTCTTCCCCATGGTCGTGCCCGGGTAAAAAGAGTTGTGATACTTATAAAGTTCCTGTCATGGAAGGAAGCAAGAAGAGAAAGATGGAGAGATATGTACCAAAGAACAGGGATAAAGCAAAAGTCACCACTGATCTCTCAGTGAAATTGAATCTGGTGATCCACAAGGGTTGTCCGATTACTGCTCAAGGGGGCGATGAAGAGATTGGGAGGGGTGATATCCATAAGAGAAGACGAATGCGTGAGAGTTCATCGCAGCCGTCAATTTTCATTTCAAGTTTATCTTGTAAGAGTACTGCCATAATTTCAAGAAACGAGGAGATCAAACATAAGGGTGATCACTTTGAGGATTTAGATCTTGAGCTTAGGCTAGGGGGTGATCCACGAAAGGGAAATTGACTGATGGATCATCCATGAATTTCTACCAGAGTGAAAGAGGTAAAAAAAAACTTAAAATATACAAAATTATATATTGATATGTTTGTTACTTTGTGTTATCTTTCCTTGGATTTGTGGTGTCTAAACTGTATGGATATATACATATATTGGATTTCTATTATTCGAGAAATTGTATGAAAATAACAATTACCAAAGTGATTTTTGTAAGGAAACGTTAAGTAGCATCTGAATTTATATACCATTTTCTCGTAATTAATATATGTTCTTAGCATCTTTCATAGTTATGAACTGCATAAATATCATCACGTTACTATCTATCTTATAATTATTATTCCGGGTAATTTCTCCTAGCGAATGAATCATATACAATGCTTATAACCTATCGAAAGATCATTCATTCATTTATCAATTTTTTTTTATCAATTTATCAATACGACACTGAGATATCTATTCGCCGAAGGTTGATTAATGAGGATGAATGTGCCAAGTAATTTATCCTTAAGTTTCCATATGGCAAAGCTATGCTATGATTATGTTTGGAATACGAAAATTAGCATATAGGAACTCTGCGGCTACTATAAGTATATATGTGTTTCATACTTCATAGTACAACGTTAGTCTTTGAAAAGATTATGTATACATTGCAGCAATCTAAACTATTGGGCATGCGTTTTATTTTGAACTATGTTGATCTAAACAGGAGGAAAGGCTTTACAATTGACTATGCCAATACCCACATTACGTGATTAATTAGAAGCATGTTGTGTAACCAGGATCCAAAATAAAGTCACATGATGAAGGAATATTTTCTGTCACATTTAGAGAGAGAGAAAGAGATGATTGACTGAATAATTCCCCCATAGATCTTAGATGCTTATTTTATTAATTTAGGGTTTTCAATGGCTCTAGTAATTATTAATGTGCATTATATTAATATATATTACGTGTATTCTAGATTTTCTGATAAAAGTAAAATCGTCCTATAAATTCCCAAGTTAAAAACAATAAAAATAAAGAATTCAAACACACCTATGCGTGTGCACACACACCCACATACAGTTTTTTTTTTGTAACTTAGGCTAACAACACATATACAGTTTTGTCTCTGAATATCTGATGAAGGAAAGGAGGCGTGTATCGCTGATTTAGAAAGTAACAACAATCAAACAATTAATGTTATCCTGCATTCAAGTTAGTGGTGCGATCAAAGTAATCAATGATGTAGCCACGGCAATCATGAATTATATGTAGAGTTTACTATTATATAATTCCTCGTTGTGAAACGTTGTAATAAGCTCGTTTCCACATACACTCGCATCTCAGTCGTAACATGACATACTGTGAAAGAAGTCACAGAAATAAGCATAAGAAAAGAGGTATTGTAAAAATAAGCATAGAAAGAGCACAAAAATCCAAATATGTCACAACACTTATTCCCTTTCGCTTGTTCTGTCTCAACAAATAATTAAGAAAATTCAAATTAAAATAATAAACTATAAGTACATAAGACTCCAACTGATTACTGTCTCTACCCTAACTTTATAGACCCGTGGGTCACAAACTCTTATATTGCGTAGACTTAAACTATTTCAGTATTCAATAACATTATAATCTTATCTTTAAATTAGGTTTTCACAATTTCTATCGACTCCCCTTAATCCATTATAAAGCTCTGTTAATACTCAATTGTTTGATCAGTAAAGATCCCTATACGAAATACGATGATTAATAAGATTTACATAAACGGAAAAAGTTTACCGAAGTTGCTTCCCTCTATCACTACGTATTAGAATTAGATAAGGTGGCGTGAGGTGTGGTAGTGATACTGCTATTGTATAATATGTAGAAATTTTGTAATTATAAACGGAAATATATGATATATATATATATATATTTTTTTTTCTAGAGTTTTGCAACTAATCTATTAAGTTCCAATCTTTCGCTAGAAGTACAGACGACTTGAGTGTTCTAATGTTTTGATTTTACAAGCGGGTCACCCACTAGTTCATAATTTCGTCATACAAATCTTAATATTAGAACTTTCCTCTTACGAAATCGTTTTTTGTCAAGATATCTATCGTGGCCAATCATAATTGATATTGCAATGGAGTTGCTCGAATCATGATCCATCAAGTTCCAAAATGGACCCTTTAACCACGATTAATCACTCAACCTGTTGACCAGAGAATAAACTTAAAAGCTATCAGCTCTCTTTTTTATTGGTTTGAGGATCAGTTAGAAATACACTTGACACTTTAAGTTTAGGTTTCTGTAGTAATTCTTAAATTGACTTCTCCATATACTAGTATAACAATGCATAGGTGGAAGTGAAGTCTTGGATTAGAGGTAGAGCTTTCACATGGGGAATGAATCTCATTCCCTGTAACTCACATACTCGAATAGTTTAAACTATTATTTAAAATATGAGATATTGTCAGTACTCAAGTGAACAAAAAAAAGATATTGTCAGTACTGAATACATAAACAATTTGTGAATAGAATTTTTGTTTGGATTCTAAGAAATAAACTAGTGTCACGGAATTTCGGACGATTCTTACCTAGTAAATAATCAAAAATACTTTAAGAATACAGAATGGTCTTCAATTATTGAATATACATTTCAATATACTTTGTGTACATTTCTCAAAAAAAAAATATATTAGTGTATATCTTAATTTTTTTTATTTTGTATCCCTATTTCTTTGAGTTGGATGCAATATTTTTGACACGTTCGAACTTCGAACCAAACGTCGTGGCACATGGTTGAAGTTCAATATCCATATATATTAGAATGATAATCTGATAACATTAATTTTAATATTGAAATGACTAAAATTTAATATGAATAATGTTTGATGTTCTCAGGGTATAATTTGATAAACTCAGATCATTTGAGAATCACATTCACATGGTCATCCATCCCATATATATTCGATTGATAATCTGATAACATAAATTTAATATTGAAATGACTAAAATTTAATATGAATAATGTTTGAAGTTCTCATGGTTTAATTTGATAAACTTAGATCATTTGAGAATCACATTCACATGGTTAAGACAAACTTTTTTTTAGAAAGTGCTTACAAGACAAACCTGGTATTATTATTATTTTATTTTCTCAATTAAATTTGATTAATATTATTTTATAGGCCTTTACTAAACCATATTTAAGATTTATTTAGTTGTTCACCAGTTTAGTCGCCAAATATAAATTAACAACTAGACTTCGAATAATAACTAATATATATAACACACAATTGTATACGTAAGTGAAAGTTCCACAGAGGGTCCTGACAACAAGAAAAGACCAAAAATTCTTGGTTGGTCCGCTTTACCAATCTGGTTTATTTATTTTATACTCAATTATAAATCGCAGTTGTCCACGAATGAGATAATGCAAGTATACACTATAACATACGAGTTTCTTTCATCATTATAAAAATGACATACAACTCTCATGTTAAAGTTTTAATAATTCAGCGACTTATGTTTTTAGTTTGCTTGACCCTCTTTTGAGATTTAAAACAGCTAGATCACTGATTCCTACAGACCTGTTTCATGCAAGTGATTTTCTTGGACAAAAATCTATTATAGGACAAATGGCCTAAAACTAATCTACAACATCCAAAAAAATCTACCATAGACCAAAGAATGTAAAATTACCATTTTACCATTAATGAAAGTTCAATCTGAACCATTAGATCAGATAATGCGAGATGTAATCTGAGCCGTCGGATGATAAGAGAAGATTGGATACAACTAGTATAACTCGTATAACTAAACACGTTAAAAAATGATATAACTAGTATAATTGGTATATAAATGTTATAATTCATGTATAATATACAACTACTATAATTGAAACGTCTAATAATCATGTTTTACATATGAAATAAACAAACATATATCATAATTGGTATATGATGACAAAATTTCATCTAACTTATTTGAAGTTTTCAATTTTTTTGGTAAATTATTACATTACACTCTTAATTTTGCATTATATATATATATATATAATATTTAAGGTTTGTTAAGTAAATTAGCTATATTATTATGAAAATATTGGTATAACTTCTAAAATTAAATATATAAACAATTGATATAATTATTATAATTTTTTATTATATATTAGACAAGTATTACTAGTACAACTGGTACAACTTGGACATTTCAGAAAATTGCAAAACCAATTTGGTATTCCATATAAGAATACTATCAAATATCCAAAGTGGTATGTAGTCAGAACTTTTTCTCCTAATATATTTGAAGTTTTGAAAAAAAAGTTGAAAATTATTACACAACTCCATAAGTTTATATGATATACCTTATACTATCAAGGTTTGTTAACTTCTTTGTCCTTATATTTTTGAAAAAACATATATGAAATGCACTTTAACAAAATCGATGATTTCATTGTATTGGGCGAAAACATATATACACATAAAAAGGTGGTACAACTGAGGTAAGTTTAAATTTCATGTGGTACAACTAGTTTTTTTGATTTCACTGTCAAAGTACAACTATGTACAAACCCGTATAACTCAAAAACTAGTACAACTATTTACAAACCGGTACAACTCAAAAACTAGTACAACTATGTACAAACCGATACAAATCAAAAACTAGTAAAATTATGTAAAAACCGGTAAAACTCAAAAACTAATATCACATCAAATCTTAAATTAATCTCAAATCTTTAATTTAAAAGTTAACACAATTTTTTTAACATCCAAATGAAACAAGTTAAACATCATAAGGAACATATGTTTTAACATCCAAAGAAACATAGGTTTTAACATCCAAAAGAACATATATAACTCATAGAAACATAAGTTTTATCACCAAAAGCAACATATGTTTTAATACGAAAATGAACC